CTGTATGGGTCAGGGGCCTCCAGGTTGCATGAGATGTGTTGCAACTTAAAGACAAAGGTATTCCACAAAGGGGCTTGACTTGCAGACAGCAGCTTTCTGTTGTTCCAAAACAAGCATCTGTTTAGATAAAGAATTTTATTTCTCAGTGAGGCTATGGAGAGCTACATAGAATATTGACTTTTTCTTATGGCCCTGAAGGGAATGGATTCAGATAAAATTGATAGAAGAATGTTCTCCTTTGGTTCTTTCATCTAGCATCATAATATTAAGTCAGTGATGGTTGGTTCATGACATAAAGTATGAGAGTTCTGCAAATGAGCACACAGCAGAGTGTCCAGGAATGAAAGAGATGGATGGAGAGGACCTGGCACTGAGGGAAAGAACACTGGGCACTGCAAACTTAACTCATGCTGTCAAGTACTAGCTTTTAAAATCTTCTTCCAGGATTAGTAAAATATGAACCCTGCTATGTTCTTGGTTTAGTTCTTAAAGATTTATGAGCAAAGTAGAGAACACTCATATCTTTTTTTCTTTTCCACAGGGGAATCAATCTATTGATTGTTGTTCTAAAATGTCTTATCTCTTTGCTGTTGATCCCATATAAATGGCTTATAAGGGAAATAATGATTATAGAGTAGGGGGAGTTATCTTGACCCCACCCAGTTTGGACTCCTTACTAAGAATTAAAATTAAACTTTGTGAATTTTCCTGTAAAGCTTATTTTGCATGGTGGAGTTTCAAGACAGTTATAATTTACTGCTGGTGAATCCTGTTTGTATGGCACCTTTCCAAAAGAGTTCATCCTATTTCGCTGATGACTCTATTCTTTTTCAACTGTCCTGGAAAGCAGAAAGAGCACAAAGTATTATTTCAAGCATCTTGCTGAGGAAAACCGATTTTCATAAGTGAAGAAGTACAGGTAGAATCAATCAAGATCATCCAGTTAATAACATCAGGTCTAGAACTTCCTTCTTCTGCTTACATTTAGATTCTGTGGCCTTCAGTTTAGTTAGCCCTAGTCCAAGGACCACTTCAGTTGATAGAAAATTATTTTCTAGATCTAAATAATGGACATTTTGGTATCACCTATATTTTGTGTGGTTCAGAGCCTAGAATCTTGTAAGAACCACAACTCCATCAAAACCATAAATAAAAGTTTATCAGCAGTAACAATAATAATAAACAGCAATACTGTCTGAGGGTAAGCTTTATTGAGGACATACTGTACTAAGCACTGTTCTAAGCACTTTAAAATTAGCAAACCCTTTGAAGTTCACAACAGCTGCATGGAATGGATGATATTATTAACCCTAATTAACAAATGAGGATACTGAGTTACAGACAGGTTATGACTTGCTTAAAGTCAAAACTAGTGACAAAAGAATAATTCAAACCTCGACTGGCTCCAAAGTCCACATTCTCAATATGCAATTTATCTTCAATTTAAAAAGTTTTATAAAAGTAAGAATTTTTTCCTTGGTCAAAGAAGACCTTATGGTTGCAGAATGCTTAAACTGTTGCCAAAGTATTTTATTATGTTACATTTTAGAGGGTTATTAAAAAAAATATTTTTTAGTTCTAGTTGGACACAATACCTTTATTGTATTGATTTATATGTGGTGCTGAGGATCAAACCCAGGGCCTCGTATGTGCTGGCAAGGCAAGCGCTGTACCACTGAGCCACAACCCCAGCCCCGATTTTTTAAAAATATATATTTCTCTTAGTTGTAATTGGACACAATACCTTTATTTTTATTTATTTTTTATTTTTATGTGGTGCTGGGGATTGAACCCAGTGCCTTGCAAGTGCTAGGTGAGCGCTGTACCACTGAGCCACACAACCCCAGCCCTTTTAGAGGGTTATTTTGTTTATTTTGTAGAACTGAATAGATGGTAGAAGATAATTTTCAAGATCTAGATAATGGACATTTTGTTATCACCTCTATTTTGTGTAGTTCAGAGCCTAGAATTATTATAAGCACCACAATTCTATCAAAACCTCAAATAAAAGTATTTAAGATTGCAGGCATGTTTTCATGTTAACATGAAACATGTAAAACTTAATCTTGGAGAATTGAGTCAACTTATGAATGAATAGATTCTTAGATTTTGGAGACTCTCAAAGTGACAGACCAGTTTATTTTATATTTTTATCCATAAAAGCAGAAGACTCATCAGTATAAAAAGTTTTAGAACCTTTCATTTAAATTAGAAATTTAAAGAAGTCCAAGATAGTTCTAAAGATAGACTTCTGTTGCCATGTAAAAAGCTTAGAAAAGGGGATTCCCCACAAAAGAGGTTCTTTATTTTCATTCATTTAAAAAAATGTAAATTATAACAGAAAGATGGATGACTAATGTACACTTAGATATGGTATATAAGATATCTTCATTTTATTCCAACATTTTCTATAAAATATTTTCAGCTTTATTCTAGTCCTCAAACAAACAAACAAAAATTGTTTTCAGCTTTCTAATTCAAGGTGGTAAAAGGTAAGCAACTTTAAAACTGCTGTAAAGTAACTACAGCAGATTGAATGAACTCTGGGGGGTAAGGAGGAAAGAAAAATAAAATCCCTGTGTGGTAGAGTGTTGAGGTAAGATGGGCATTCTTCCTTTTTCTCTAATTTCTGATGAAGTCAGAACCAACACATCCTGTTCTCCCCCCAGTGAATTAAAAAGGAACATTATCTAGAAATGTAAATGTGGCATCAGAAAGGACCTCAAAGGTAAGTGGAGGGCAAAAAGTGTCAGATAAAAAACTTCAAGACCCGTGACAGTCACCTTTCCTAATTCCTTTTGAGGAACCTAATAAAGGAATCATCCTGGGATGTGGACTTAGCATAGGCTGTGCAAGCCACCAAGAATGGTATGGGACAAAGATCTGGATCTAACAGAGCTGAGCTTCCTTGAACTACAGGATCATTCTCTAGCTCAGTGTTCTAAAGGAAAACAATGGAAAATATGCTTTCTTAATCTTTCACTGAGTAGGACAATTAATCTGTGTGCGCGTGCACACACACACAGGAAAAATAAGATTATGATCTCTGTCATTGTACAGGGAAAGATTCTCCAAAGTAAGCATAATATAATATATATGTCCTTCAGTGAATTATCATTTAGTGTTTTGAAGCAGTCAGAGCATTCACCTCTGAGTAGAGGTGAACATATTCACCTCTATTCAGCCAGTGCCTTGAGTGAGAGAGTTCTGGAGCTAGTTTGAAATAATAAGTATTGGAAATCCCCACTGTACACTGTCTGCCACAGATTAAGATGCTCATTGTTAGAGGTTTCTCTTTGTGGAGGGATTTACTGAATAGGATCCTGCCTTGGTCCATGATTAAATAACGTTCACCAAAAGATCAGGGAAATTAAACTGTTAGAACAGCATGCCTAATTATCTTTATACCTTGATGAGGTCAGCATGAGCCATTGCAAATTCTCTGGCATGAACTTGCAGAAGCCAAGAAATGGAATCTAAAGACAAATTGCTCCTGTTCAACTCATCTGCAGGATGGGGAGTAAGAATTCAGGCTTAAGAAAGAATAGGTGAGAGGGCTAACCACTCGGACAGTGAATGCTTATTATTCATGTAGAACCTTTCATTTGTGGAAATCTGAGCTAAGAAGGAAGCTCCTTGGATTGGGAAGAAGCAGCAAAAATAAAGTTCTGATTTATCACCTGAAGAAACAATGAATGGATCCTAAGAGTACAGATACTTCTTGACATAGGTCTTGTCAGGATTAGTTGGGTAACCTTAGACAAGCCAATCTAATCTCTTTAAGCCAATCTTAATCTCTTTAAGGCCAGGGTTATTGAGTGGTATGAAGAGGACTTTAACAGATTGGTTGCTGAGTCCAAGGTCAGAACTAGATCTTGAGATTCTTTAACCTGGGTAGGTTCTGTAAGATACAGGGTGGCACAGGAGATATTCTTTGGTATTTTGATAAAATAAAACTATAATGTGGGCACAGTTATTGATCTAAAGTAGTATGGACAGTCTTTTATTCTAACAAAAGTAAAAAAGAAGAAATTCTCTAGATTTGTTCATTATTGTAGTCACTAGCTATATGTGGCTATACCAATAAAAATTAATTTAAATAAAATAATTAATCCAGTTTCTAAGTCACACTAGCCACATTTCAAGTGCTTAATAGCCACATGTGACAAGTGTCTACTTATTGGTACTGTAGACAAAGAACAGTGCCATCATCAAAGAACAGTGCCATCTGTGGTCAGCACTGCCCTAGACCACTAGCTGCCTAGACCAGTAATGGCAGTGATTTGTCCTTTAGAGCAGGGTGTGGATGTTTGTGCTGTGGGGTGACTGTGTACATGGTGACTGTGTACATTGGGGAATGAACGAATAGATTAATCCTTATTTGAACAAAGTATAAAAAACCCTCCATTCAAAGGATGTTGTCGTTGAACAGAGTTTGAGAGACATGGGGAAGAGGGAAAGAGGAGGGAATTAGGAAACAGTATCATTCTGTGTCTGAAATCTGGACTAGACCTGAGTCTTCCCCAGGACACAGGACCCCCAGATGGGAGAACCTCAGAGATGTCATCAGTCTATGCATAGCTGATCACAACAATGGAAAAGTGGGAAAGGAACTGGGTTGCCTTAATCCCTAGGAAATGAGGGAAACTCTTAGCATTTGTTGGGGGAAAAAGATTAGTTATGTTTGGCCCATGTTACAGAAGAAAAAGTTGCTACATATCCAGGATAGGGAATCATTTAGGCTTTTAAAAAATAGATAAGAGGGTAATCATTCTTGACAGTCAAGCTTTTTGGTTATAGATCTGTACAAGCTTGAGTGTTAGTAAAAAATTACTGCAAATACACTGAGAAGGATTGGTTCTGCTTTCCCTAATGGCTAGGATTCCAGGCACTTGGGGAAAAAAAGAAATCAGAGGTGGATGGCAAAGAGTGTAATTTTACCTGCTGTCTGGAAGCCATCTGTGAAGGGACTCACCTTTCTCTTCTGAACTTACTTCCAGGTGCAGCTGCAGGGGATGACACTGAAGATGCCAGCACTGAATTCACTGATAGTATTGAGGAGGAGGCTGCACACAACAGCCACCAGCAAGTAAGTCAGTGTCAGGTCCTGGGGTTCCCTGGGTGGAAGGTACACAGCCCTTCTGGGGTCTGATGGTCTCCCACAGCCTTTGTGCTCCTAAAGTGAGAAGACATTATTCTATATAAACCACTTCCCAGTCTGCTGCTTGTCCTCCCTAGGCATCCCAGCTGCCTCTCCAACCCACATTGTCAGTTTCTCTAATAGACCCTTTTGTTTTTACTACTTCTGTGTTTTTCTTCTGCTTCCTGCCTCTTCCTACCCACCTTTGCCTTTATTTACTGTCTGTAGCTATAGCTTCAGAAGAATTTTTACTTACAAGACAATGGATACTTCCCCTCTTGTGCTTTTGTAACTGAAACACACCACAGAAGACAGGGAGACATCGAAGGGCTGCTTGGGGAGGTGGCAGGGCTTAGGACCTGCATGGGGAGAATGCTGAGAAACTCCAAGAGGATCAGAATGTCTCCATAGCAGGGATCTTTCTCAATGGAGTCTCATATAGAAGAGAACTTGGCAGTGCAACCTGACAGACTACCCAGGTTGTGACTAAGTCAATGACCAGCAGATGGCCCTTCAACAGCAAGCCCCTGTCAAGCCTCAACTTGGTATCCAAGGCTGAAACACAGTCCCCACCCACTATCAGAGAAAGCACGTTCTCAAGTCCAAGAGTGAATGTCCTGGACCTCAGAGATTATCACTGATAGTGAGCCCACAACACTTGTTGGAACTCCTAAGTGTCTCCGCCTTGCCCAGTGACATTTAACAGTTGCATCTTCTAGATGGACGATGCCTGAAACTAAGTTATTGCAGAGAAAGTAGATCCCTGATAGAAATCCTTCTGCAAAAGTAGCCAGGCTTCCCCAGTGATGGCTTCCTTAGGACTATGAGGAAACCTGTAGGGAAAATGAGGATGCCTGGGTCTGTCTATACACCATCTGCATAAGAAAAAGAGGAAAAATTTAATAAACCAGTGAAAGGAGCCCAAGTGAACAGTCCCCAAATCTTACAGGATATGGCACAATACGTCCTCAAGAATTTCCCTTCTACCACGAGTCCCTTTTTGTTGCTTTAGCCATAGCTAACCTTCACTTCTTCCTTGAGTTTTTGCATTAGCTCCACTACTTTTGCTTGAATATCTTTTTCTGAGTCCTTCTCACCAAAGGTTGTGAATTTAATTGTGCAAACCACTGCCCCTCAGTAGAGATGCTTCTGCCCTTCACTCCCTGATTTCACTGAGGATCTTCGGTAAGAGAAAGGAACCCACAGAATGAACAGATATTCACTTTAAGACAACTGGTTTGGGATGGCAGCTGGTCACTGATGGTTAGTGACTGTGGGATGGGATTAACTTAGAATAAATAAGCAGGAAGCACAGCTGTAAGGAGATTCAGATTCTGATTTGCATGGTATAAATTATTTTTGGTAGTACAAGTCCTATAGGAAAACTGACTTATAAAGTCATTTCTTCCATAGCCTTTTTTTTGTAGCCTAACATGGAGAATACAACCAAATCCTATTTTGATAAGGTCAGTCCAGCTGGGAAATGGACTTTTACATTGGGGCATATTGCAGTGCTTGCAATATTACTTGGCATAGGAGATGCCTAATATAATTTTAAATTGATAGACTTCTGGATTAGGGCTTGACTCTTGATAGATAAAGTGTATACCTGTTGGATGAAGAGTCTCTTGGGTAAGCACCATTTTCCTTTTTATCGCCTTTTCTTAAAAAACCAATCTTCAGCTTTGGGGAGGAGGACCCTTCGTATGTGAAGTCATTGTAAGTTTACTTCATTTTTCTGGAGTTTACAGTTGTGATTCTCTTTCTTTCAATTAAATAAAGCTTGCTTTGCCATAACTGTGTTTTGTGTCCAGATTCTCAAAAAAAATCATTTGCTTTTTTCTAGGAAAATGGTTCCTTATTTATTAGGTTGTGTTCTCCTTGTTGGAAACTAAGACTTATTCTTGACACCAAAATCTCTTCTTCACTCAAGCATCCATATACTTCCCCTGGTACACATATCCAACTTTGGGTTCCTGGGCAAGAATCACCTTTTAGCCAAAGAAAGTTTTTTTCCTCCTGATTTTTTTGACTCACCTACTTAAGCAAGCTTCAGGTCTGGCTATGATGATAATTTCTCCTAGATATCTCCCCCAAAATTCCAATCTCAAATAGATTAAGATCTACAGTAAACACCTAGGAAATTTCCATTAAAGAAACTAGAGTAATCAATCATTGCTTTCTTCATTTTAACTTTGCAATGGAGAAAAGTTAATCAAGAATTGAGATTCAAATGCAAAGGAGAGAAGTCAGTAGACTAAATGTGATGTTTTAGGAACAGCTATTTAAAAAACTAATATTATTTTTATTGTCCAATCATGATTATGTACGTTTATGGGGTACAAAGTGATGTTTTACTATATAAATAAAATGTGAAATAATTACATCAAGCTAATAAATATATCCATCACCTCACCTCACCCTGGTTTCTTATGGTGAGGCATTTGAAATTTATTCTTAGTTCTTTGGAATTATACATTATTAGTGACTGTAGTCATCTTGCTGTGTAATAAATCTCAAAACCTATTCCTTAAGTCTATCCAAAACTTTGTACCCTTTAGTAAACAACTTCCTGATGTATCCCCCCTCACTCTGGTAATTATCACTCTATTCCTTACTTCTGTTAGTTCAACTTTATTATAGATTCCACATTTCAGTCCTATAAGTGAGATCAGGACATATATGTCTTTGTCTGCCATGCTTATTTCTCTTAGCCTGAAGGACTTCAGAATCTTCCGAGTGACAGGATTTCTCCCCTTTTTAAAGGCTGAGTAATATGAGGTTGAGCATAATATTTTCTTTATTTACTTACTTCTCTGTTGAGAAGTTGACCTCTTATCATGGCTATTGTAAAATGATGCTGCAGTAGACATGGAATGCTGAAATCCTTTGACAATATGATTTCAGTTCCTTTGTAAATATATATCCAAAAATGGAATTACTGGATCATATGGGTAGTTCTATTTTTAGTTTTTGGAGGAGTCACCATACCATTTTTCACAGTAGCTATACTAAAGTTCATTCCTACCAACAATGTACAAGTTCCCCTTTCTTGGCATCTTAATGCTTGATATCTTTTTTTCTTTCCTAAGTTTGTATAAAAACCAATCTAACAGGTGTGAGGAGATATCTCATTGCAGTTTTATTTTGCATTTCCCTAAAGATTAGTGACGCTGTGCATCGGGGGAAAGCTAGTTTTTAATGCACTTATTGCTGCCTCGGAACTGACTTACATTGTGAGAGGTATGAAGCAATAGGGAAAAACAGAACAACTCTATTCAAGCAAGAGAGAAGATCCTGCACTAAACCTCTGCAGGGCAAATAGGAACTCAGCACCCAAAAAGTTGAATTGTATGGAAACAATAGCACAAGTGAATTAGGTAATGTTGAAGAAGATATCTATAAGAAAGACATAGCTAAAATAGATTTAATGGATTCATACTACTGCCACACATAGTGGAAGTCTCAGGGTTTGTTTGAAGGAAGGAGCAGAAATATTTGCTTTTCATAAATGATTAAAAACTAATGAAAAGGCTAGTTTCTGAGTCACTTTTCATACATTGACATTTAAATTATATTTATATTTAAATTTTAAGTTTAGTCAATGTATGCCATCGTTGAGATAGAACTATGAAAACCCAAATTAGCATAAGCAAAAATTAGATCTCGAGTCATTATTTTTTCTTTAACAAAATAAGTGTATTAAAACCAATAGAGTAAGGTATCATACATACAGATGGTGCTTGAAAATAGTTAAACTTGTTTGGCATGGTGACGCATACCAGAAATCCCACTTACTGGGGAAGCCAAGGCAAGAGGATTGCAAGTTTGAGGCCTGCCTTGGCAACTTTGTGACACTCTGTCTCAAAATAAAAAATAAAATAAAAAGAGCCGGGGATGTAGCTCAGTGGTAGAGCACCCCTGTACCATACACACACAAAATGGGTAGATTTATAAAGTTGGACATTATTTTTAAGCAAAAGGAATCCTTGGGTTTTAGAAAATAATAAAGATTGTACCCATATTCAAGACTAATGGTGATGTTTTAGTTATGTTAATTGGAAAGGGTTTATATTGAAAGATAACACAGTTAAATGAAAGGTAGAGCCATAAATTTTGCAAAGTGGTTTTATCCAGTACCATGTCCTTTATTTTGTCACAAATGGTTGGTGGCATATGTGGAGATGACCCCCAAACTGACTAAGCTGATCAGCAGAGTTATAGAGAGAAAATTGTCAAGAGCCTGCCAGATATCAAGCTCACAGAACCCATGTACAATTGGATACCTAGAGATGGTGTCCTTTGTGTGTGGATCTCTTTCTTTGACACAGGTGCACATCTCCTTACTAAACACCACTTGCATACCTCCACCACAAACCTGTGGCTTAGATTTTATCATGGTTTCTTAAGGGAAGTAGCAAAAGTCAATTGCTTTTTGCCAACCCAAGCCGCTCCAATTATTGATCCATGTAAGGTACCCTAGATCTTATTCTGTTAACATATTGGTAACTTAAATGAAGGTTTAAAGCATATAACTAATTCAACAAATCATCCCTACTTGGGTAACCACTACACATTATAGAGATGCACAGCAAATATTTTGATGGTTTTGATAATTAGGAAATGGTTCTGTATAGCTAGAATGAATTTATAAGTGATAAGTACAAATAACAGATTTATAGATATAAAAGAAAGAGAGAGAGAGGAAAAAAAAAAAAACATGACCCAGACAAAGCTGTGGGAGAGAGGTGGGAAACTGAGAATTAGAATTGACCTGGGGGTAAGTAACTCTCAAATGCTGCCACTGAGATAAAAATAAAAATTAATGTGACATTGAGATATATTGAAATTAATTTAGACAGGCAAGAAATCCTTGTTCTAAAATAATAGTCATACACTAAGTAGATTGCCATACTTTTGTTTTGATTTCCACACTTTAAAAAGCATGAAAAACAACTAGAGACGAGTGCAAATGAACAGAAAGAAAGTCTAAAACTTCGCTAATTCCCATTTGAGGAAACACTGTAAGATTTGCTTTAATTGAAACTTGAAGAGGATTTTTAAGAAAAAGAAAGGTATTGGGAAATTGTTTCTACCTTGATTTCTTCTTACATGCTTAAATTTGTAAAGAGAATTTGGCTGACAATATTGGCACAAGTGAAATAACCAAAAAGGAATAGAGGCTTTTGAACAGGGCTTCACCTCAGCTTCTCAGTAGTTTAGGATGTGATTCCCCTGCTGTCAATGAAATAAAGCTTACTCTGTAACTCCACCATTATTCTAATTTTGTGAGGACTGCTGCTGTTTCCTGAGTACCCTGAGCCCTCCTGCTCATCTTCTCTTTGGAATCTAAGTTCCAGGTAGGGCCTTGGGCATTGAGCCCTGCAATTTTGAGCCATCATCTTCTGATTCAAGGATTCCAGTGTTGTGAAGCTTCGTGACTTGTGAGAAGACTCTGGGGAACTCTGACCTCTCAGAAATAGGAATCACCCCATCCACAGACACAGACTTATTTAAAACTTGTTTGTTTGTGTGTGTGTGTGTGTGTGTGTGTGTGAAAGAGAGAGAGAGAGCGCTTTTTGTGTTTTCCTCACCCTTCTGTGTATTCTCCTCTTCCCCTTTGTAACAACTCTGCTCACTAGATGTGTCCTCCTTGCCCAAACCACTCTCCCAGACCCTTATGACTGAGAAAATCCTTAGAAGGGAGTTCATTTTAGCTTTGTCTTCTTGTTGTTGCTTCCATTGAAGGATGTCCTTGTGATCTCATGTTTCTCTTGGGTCCTCTTTAATGACCTAACATCATTTTATGTATGTGACCTAATTTCTTTAAACCATTATTTTGTTTCAGCTTACCAAGGTGGCTTTGGATAAAAGCTCGGCAACTGTGGAGACCCAGAACACATCCCTTTCCCCTCCATCCCCAGTAGGAGGGGACAGTAACAGGTGTCTTCAGGAGGAAATGCTCCACCTGAGGGCTGAGATCCACCAGCACTTAGAGGAGAAGAGAAAAGCTGAAGGGGAACTCAAGGAGCTAAAGGCTCAAATTGAGGAAGCGGGATTCTCCTCTGTGTCCCACATCAGGTAGGACATTTTCTCCAGGGAAGGCGAGCCTATAGACCACAAGTCCCTACCACCATAGCCAGGGCCTTGCCTTGCTGCAACCAAGATGTTTGTGTTGCTACATGACTACGGGATCCACATTCCAGGATCCATGCATTGATGTTTCTATGAATTCTTTACAGCAAAGTTAATGGATAATGGTGATCACTTTTGTTATTGATTGGAATGTATAAGGGATCTTCTGCCCCCAAAGTTTAACTGCTGTATGCAGAACCACAGCAGTTCGCAAGATAGGGGTATTTATATGGAAGCCCCTGCTTCTCCAACTCAGTTCCCTGGCAGAAGCAACGAGTAATCAAATCATGGAATAGCAATTTTAATAATCTCTGCTGCTTTATTAACTTGATTAAAATGATAAATATCTGATTCATTGACTAGATTGGCTACTCTGTCTTTAGCAGCTTTTTGTCAAAAGATACCCAGAGAATATTTTGATATAGGGATAATCCACTTAATCATTCACCACTGAGGACTCTTGTTTAGAGTACAGCTATAAGATGTACAAATTTTAATTCATGTCCTGTGGTTTCCCGGTATACTACACATCACTTAAACTTACTTGAATAACATTAACATTTGAAGAGGACCTTGATATCCAGCCCATTGTCCATGTTTATAGTTAAGAAAACTCAGGCCTAGGAAGTTCTAAGTGACTTACTCAAGATTGTGTAATGGTCCATAGCCAGACCCCTGGCTCCTGATTTTTAAATCTGCTCCTTTCTTCTGTTATGTATTTTTTCAAATATTTTTTTAAAACTTCGGTGATCATTCTAAATGTTAGTTCTTTCACACTGAATTATAATAATTCTTTAGTTAAGTTCTACTTAAGTTAAAGCACAAGCTTTGCTTAACTTTTGCATGTGTGAATTTAGTTGAGATGTTACAAACAGAACAATTCTTTTTGATTCTACACACCATGCCTACGTATCCTTGTGGATTATTTTCCTTTTTCCTCAGAGTTACTGTTCTGAAACTGATTTTTTCTCTCCACCAGACCTCAAGAAACACTGATGTTGTAGAAGATAGAATCTAATACCTAACCACTCCTTTCAAGATTTTGTTGAGCATGCTTTCATTACTTTGTACTGTGAAAACATTAGTGTTTACCCCAAAATGTAGTTATAATATTAAATATTATTTTCTATATTATATGTGTGTCCCCCTCTCTCCCTCTTTCATCCCAGTTTTGGTAACATCCTGTCCCTTTTTTATCCATTGAAAAACTGTCTCATGGATGCTCTGAATTCTATGTCCTAAAGTATTTTCTTCCCTAAATGACACCAGATTAATTCTGCTCGAAGGCCCAAGACTTCAGGATTCTGAGAAATCTAGTTGAGGGACATAGCCAACTACTGATCCTTCAGGCCATGAATTACCATTTTTCTTTGCCTCTTCAAGCTCAGCACTCTCAGTGCTTAAGAATCACCTGTGGAACTTAAGTAAGATTCAAATTCATAGGCCTTAGCTTAAGAGCCTTTTAAACAAGGACCTGGTGGGATTTTGATGTTAATATTCCTCAGGTCTACAGCTAGTTGCAACAGCATCGAATGACTCCTCTGTTGAGGATTCTGAGCTAACCACATCCTGTAATTTCATTAGTATCTACTAATGTTATAATTCTTATTTTTCATAAAAGATATCATAATTTTTATTTTATCTAAAAGGAAACTGAGACTCCAAGAGGTTAAGTGAATTGCTTTGTGAGAGCCATGTTTTTTTATAGCTTCCATTAAACCCCAGAAAAGGGAGTATTGGGGATAAGGGTAAAGCTAGAATGTCTTGGTGAAAATTAGTTTAGTCAATTTTATTTTGTCGACAATGTGAATGTTTTACATGGCAGGAACCTTTGGAGACCCTGGGATACAGGGCAAACGGTACAGATATGGTTTCTGCTCTCATGAAAGTTATCTGCTATCACATGAGCCAGACATATAGCAAATAATTTTATGTTTATGTTTTATCTAGTTAGTATTGTTTCTGTCTTATGTGTTCCTAGATGCCAATTATGGTGGTTTTTTGTTGTTGTTGTTGTTACTGGAGATTGAATTCAGGGGTGCTTACTGAGCCACCACCCCAGCCCTTTTTAATTTTTTTATTAAGGCTGGCTTTGAACTTCCAATCCTCCTGCCTCAGCCCCCCAAGTCACTGGGATTACAGGTGTGAGCCACTGTGCCCAGCTCCTAGATCCCAATTTATCCTTCAGTGGTTTAAAATGGATGATAAATAATAGAACTGTAGAATCCATAATAACAAATTTGTCATAGGCCATTTCCTTCTAATGTTTTACTGAATAGTGTAAGTACCTCTGTGTTTTCCAGAGGTCACTGAGAATTAGAAAACTGGCTATTTGGCCAAGTAAAGAAAAATAGACTGTAGATCTTGATACCGAGATTTTAGTGATTGGCGCTGCCATCAAACAGCTGTTGGAAGTATTTGGTGTGGGGCTGTCTCTCACCCTTCCTAACTCTGGGTATTCCAATGTATAAAATAAAGATGTTGTTGTAGGTTTTTGAGGTTGCTTCATGCCCTGGCATGTCCCTGAGTCTATCATGGACTGAGATGTGGGTAAAAGGGGCTATAAAGAGCTGTGGCCAAGACCAGATCTGTTCTCTGAATGTATATTTTCTGTAGGAATACCATGTTGAGCCTTTGCCTTGAGAATGCAGAGCTGAAAGAGCAGATGGGAGAAGCAATGTCTGATGGATGGGAGATGGAGGAAGACAAGGAGAAAGGCGAGGTGATGGTGGAGACTGTAGTCGCCAAAGGGGATCTAAATGAGAATACCCTTCAGGCTGAGTTCAGAAAGCTCCAGGGAAAACTGAAGAATGCCCACAACATCATCAACCTCCTCAAAGAACACTTGGTACTAAGCAGCAAGGAAGGGAATAATAAACTTACTCCAGAGCTCCTTGCACACTTGACCAGGGAGATTGACAGAATGAACACAAACCTGGTTTGTTCTCCTGGGAAGAACCAATGCCAAGAGGAGGAGTTGACCACAAGGCCTTGCCCCAGACCCCAGAGCCTTGACCTTGGGGCCGCCCTGGCAGTGGATACCCACCAAGTAAGCAAGGGCATGGGTGAAATGAAAAATACTTGGTAAAGATCTGGAGATATCAGTTTTTATCTTAAACTGTCTATCAGGAGGTAATAAAGGAAGGGCAGCTTTGTTCCACAGGGAGGGAGATGGTAATAATAAAAGTACCCATTCAGTTTTAGAAAGGTTTTTACATTATCTCATGAGTATCTCCTAAATTGTTAGTTTTCCAGGTAACATCTCAGCAGTAGCAGTGGGTAATAAGACCTCATCTCTGCCCTTGACATCATACGGTGGGGAAAAATGGCCACAAACCCAGATAATTTTAATAGGATGTAACTGCCATAATAGTGGGATCCATCAGATTTTGAAGCATCCCAAATGGTGTGTAATGACATCTCTTTCTTATCAACTGCTATTTTCATCACACTTCATTACAGGTGTCTGTGATCACAAGGGGTTGTTGGGATTCTCTTAAGGGAATTAGCTTTGCTGAGGATTCAGTCAATGGAGAATACAGAGGATTCTGAGAACCACTGAAATAGTAATGCAAGGAGAGCTGAGTGGAGGTTTCTACCTCTTCCCTTCAATCACTGAGCAAACATTTTCTGAGAGCTCTCCTATAGACTTGATTGGCACTCTGCTGTGTGCTATAGATACAGAGATGAATAAAACATTTTAGAAACTCTCTAGGAGCTCTGTCTAAAGCAAGTAACTATTGAATGGTGTGACAAGTACTCTGACAGACACATGAGTATAACCCACAGTGTTAAAAGGGGGAAGTGGCTATCACTGTGTGTGTGAGTAGGGGGGATGGCCTCAGGCTGTCCTGATCCCTGTATTGGTCCCTTTTACAGTTGGATAACCAGTCTCAGGCCCAGGATGGTAGGCCTCAATCAGAATTTAGCCTGCGTGGTTCTACCAAGCACCTGCGCTCTCAGCTGGCTCAGTGCAGACAATGCTATCAAGACCTTCAGGAGAAGCTACTGATCTCAGAAGCCACTGTCTTTGCCCAGGCAAACCAACTGGAGAAGTACAGAGCCATATTTAGTAAGTATTGGAAGCTCACCATCACAGTGTCTTTGTTCTTCCTAAGAAAAGATAGGTCTTGCAGATTTTACTCTTTCCCCCTCCAGTCTCAAAACAAATTCAGTTCTGACCATAGTGCTAGAACTGTGGAAATGGATATTTTACTTCAATTTGAAGATGGCAGAGAAAAAAGGAAGAAAGCAAAGTTTCAAGGTTGCAATGGGCGTATAGGGAGAAAATTCATCTAGGTTTGCTAATTTCTGGTATAGTGAGTAAACTGCCTTCCTCTCTCAGTGTAATTGGTTCTCTTTTATTTTCTTTGTACTATAACAGATTCTTTAAAAATGTGTAATAATTATTGGTTTAGATCAGCACTGTCTAATATAACTTTTTTGCAGTGGTAGGAAAGTAGAAAACATATATATATATCTATCTCATATGTCTATTGAACATATAAAATATGGCTAATGCAATTTGGAAATTTTAGGTTTTACTTGATTTTAATTCATTTAATATAAAATAGCCACCTTATTGGCCAATACAGATCTAGATGTCTTGGGACTCTACATTAGCTCAGCCCCATTTAAACATTTACTGAACTCCTGTGGATAAAGGACTTGCAAGTTTCACTGCAGCTTCCAGAGATGATAGTATTGAATATCCAACTTACAAGTTTCTAGTCCCAACCTAGGTTGTCAGAAGTGAGATTATCAGTGAAAAACAAGCTCATCCTCAAAGAAATTCTGCCTGGAGCAGATGATTTCTCCTCCTGACCCCAATAAAAAGAACATATATTCCACACTTGATCTGACCTCCCTGCCCCTAAAGGTCAGGGTGTATGCCCCAGAAGTTCAGGGAACATGTGAGAAATTCAGATACTCTGTAATACTTTCTGTTACTTCCTGAGCAGGTGAATCCCTTGTGAAGCAGGATAGCAAGCAGGTCCAGGTGGATCTCCAGGACCTGGGCTATGAGACTTGTGGTCGAAGTGAAAATGAGGCTGAACGTGAGGAGACCACCAGCCCTGGTAAGATCATAGGGTATAGGACTCACCTGCCTGCCCCAGGGTCAGCTGTCACATTTGGTTGCCATTCTAGAACCACTGGAACAGGAATGCAAGGAGGGCTGAGTGGAGGTTTCTATCTCTTCCCTTCAATCACTGAGCAAACATTTTCTGAGAGCCCTCCTATAAAGAGAGCTATATGCATTCCTGTTCCAGTGGTCCTAGGCTATTCCCATACCTTATTGATTAGTAGGGGTTGGGAAGTTGTGATTGAAAGGGACCCAGGACCAGAAAAGGACAGGAAATGTGGAGAACTCTGCTTCAAAATGAGTCTGAATATGAGTTTCACCTTCTATAATTAACTTTTAGCATACTTCTCTTAAGAAAATAACATTCTATCCATATCACTATTATAGAAAAAAATACCAAGGACTACTTATGAAAGAAGGGAATAGATGAGCTCTTGGGGTTATGTAAGCAATACATTTTTAAAAAAATATTTTGTTTTGCCTTATAAAAGACAATAGTCATGGGGCCCCTACCTAATTAATACTGAGAAAAGGAGAAAAACACTTTCCATCTCTTTTCCCTTGAGGCAGAGTAGTGTGGCAGTTAAGAGCAGAAATCCTGGGGCAAGCCTAGTTGGTTCAAATTTCAGTTTATGAATTTCTCTGTGCTTCAGTTTCCTCAACTGCTAAAACAGTTATTTAATAAAACTACTATCATTATTAAATGGCTATTTAATAAAGGCCCAAGTTAATGTCATACTTAAGAGGCAGCAATGTGTATGGGACGTACACATGACATTGGAGGATTTGAATTATGGCTTTGCCATGTGCTAGTCTGAATGATCTAGAGCTAGTTAGTTTATTTCTGAGTCAGTAAGATGGAAGGCGTCCATACCTAACTTGCAGGGCTGTTGGGAGGATATAAAATATTAGGTTTGAATACTGGTACAGAACCAGGTTGAATTGAGTACTGCTTCAATTTTGCTCCACTAATTATTATTCCTATGGCCAAACCTATTCCCTGAAAAGGGAATGACCACAGTAGCATGTCTAGTCTATATTCAGGAAGATGTCTTTGTCTCTGTCTTTCAGAATGTGAGGAGCACAACAGCCTCAGGGACATGGTACTCATGGAAGGGCTGTGCTCTGAACAAGGGCGCATGGGCCCAGCCCTCACTCACCCTCCTGGGAAGAAGCCTTCAGAGAGCCGGCTAGGGAAGCAGGAAGAGTCCCAGGCATATGGAAAGTCAGAAAACATCTCTGTTCTACAAAAGGACATTAAAGATCTGAAAGCCCAGCTGCAGAATGCCAACAAGGTCATTCAGAACCTCAAGAGCCGTGTCCGGTCTCTCTCGGTTACAAGTGATTATTCATCTAGTCTGGAAAGACCCCGGAAGCTAAGGGCTGTTGGCACCCTTGAGGGGTCTTCACCCCATAGTGTCACTGATGAGGATGAGGGGTGGCTGTCTGATGGCACTGGGGCCTTCTACCCTCCAGGCCTTCAGGCCAAAAAGGATCTGGAGAGTCTTGTCCAGAGAGTATCCCAGCTGGAGGCTCAGCTCCCAAAAACCGGAATAGAAGGGAAGCTGGCCGAGGAGCTGAGATCAGCCTCGTGGCCTGGGTAAGGAGTGCACTATTTGATTGATGATGTCTAAGTTTGTGCTTGGAATTGAGTGACCTAAGTAGTTTGAATGAAGAACATATCATCATAGTAAGAAGGCACTTATTTAAGTGGTGGTAAGTCTGAGAAGATACTTATTATCAGCTATCATTAGTACATTGTATGGTGGCCCAGTGTCTGGGAGATACCAGGTTGCTGGGATTTTCTATTAGGGATATATTTAAAGTATCTGTCTGTCTATCTACTGAAATCTATCTAGTATGAGATAGTAGAAAGCTAGATTCAGATACCTGGGTTTAACTCCTAGCTTTGTCACCTATTAGTTGTACAATTTGCCTAACTTTTCTGAACCTATTTGATTACCTATTAAATGAGGATAATAAGAGAGGCCAACTCAAAGGATGGTTAGTAGCTTTCAGTGAATTAATGCAAGTGCTTAAAATAGTGTCTGACATGCATTAAGCTCAGTGCTATTTGCATAATTGTTATTGTTTCTGAAACTTCATTTTGAAAAACACTGGATGGACATCCATCTTGGTATGTGTCATACTTACCTATTGCTAAATAATCACTTTACAACATAGTAGCTTTATCATTTCTCATGGTTTTGTGGGTTTACCAGGCTTAGCAGGGCCCCTGGGTGGCTGCCATCAAATGGTAGCTAAGGTTGGAATAATCAGAAAGACTTCACTGGGCTGGACACAATTTCTTTATCTACATGTCTAGTGAGTCAGTGCTCTCTGGCTTCTCTTTCTCCACAGGGCTTCTTATTGTCCAGGGCTTTCCTTCTGTCTTTGGCTTCTCATAGTGTGGTGTTCTCAGAGTGCTTTCTTTGTGAAAGCTGAGATCTCAGGCAGGAAGTAAAAGTTGCCAGGTCAGTTAAGAATTAGTCCCAGAATTGGCACAATGTTACTTCCACTGTATTATCTTGGTTAAAATGGTCATAGAGCCTTCCAAGATTTAAGAAGGTAGAGAATAACCTCTAAATGCTGATGAAGAAGTGGCAAAGCCATGTTGTACCAGAGCATATGGGACTGGAGGTCGTATAATGGCCATCTTTGTAAATTACAGTCTGTCACAGTATCATAGCATAGAAGAAATAAAAGACATGGAAAGTCCTATGTAACTTAGGATTAAGTGATTTTAAGTGTTTATTGACTATCTATTGTGAGCCTACATTATACTGGTGCTGTATGAGATGTACCATATAGTATTGTCTTTACTTTCACAGAATTTATGATTTAGTTTTGGACATATGGCTAATATATATAAAACAGTTGAAGAACAGTGGCATACTAATTTTTTATGCAGTATTTTCTCAGAATAGTATTTATTCTTAAATACCTCCTATGGATTATATGAATTTCTCTTGGGGGAGTTCCTTAGGTATATCCTATATCCTCTTTGAAATCTCTAAGGAAGCCCCTATAACTTTAATTCATTTTTTCCCATTCATTCTCTCTCTCTCTCTCTCTCTCTCTCTCTCTCTTCTCTTCTCTTCTCTTCTCTTCTCTTCTCTTTCCTGTAGAAAATATGATTCCCTGATTCAGGATCAGGCCCGAGAACTATCCTACCTACGGCAAAAAATACGAGAAGGGAGGGGTATTTGTTATCTTCTCACCCAGCATGCAAAAGATACAGTCAAATCTTTTGAGGATCTCCTAAGGAGCAATGATATTGACTACTACCTGGGTCAGAGCTTCCGGGAGCAACTTGCCCAGGGAAGTCAGCTGACTGAGAGACTTACCAGCAAACTCAGCACCAGTAAGTAGGCCATGGGACTTTGGAATACTCTCAGTCACTCTCACAGTTCAGGCCCGGGTAACCACCACACCTCCACTGCACAATTTTATCCCAGGGTCCAATTTTACTTCATCTCCTGTGGGCCATTACAGGATCATGACTGGCTAGCAAGGAGTACCAAGAGGAACATACAGGGTTGGAGATGCATGGTTACAACTGCAGAGAATTAATCACATATTGAATGTGACTTTTCAGGCAGGAGGTAGCATGCATCTAATGTTAAAGAGAGAGGGAGATGAAAGGGCCCTGTTACAATGAAGAGTCCTGAATTAAGAACTGAAAGATGCAAGTTCATCCTAGGTGCTGCCATCAACTTGCTTTGAACAAATTACTTTTCCTTTTGTCATCTGTTTCTTAATTGATTGCATAGTATTTTATATATACATGTATTTCAAATATAAATAAAGCCATTTTGGACATAATGAAGGCAGTGGCTATGGTAGTTCAAGGGATATGTTGGTTATTATAGAACCTGTTACATAGAATTTCCTAGGACTATAGCAGGCTCAGACTTGGGGGACAAACCAGTCCTTCTACTGGTGACAGGTGCAAAGGTGGAACAGGGCTGTCATTTCCTCAGAGACAAGAGTAGGTTCTACATGAGAGCAGTAATGGGACACATTAGCTGTGTATTTGGGAGGAAGTCTATGGCAGGACATAAAGGCTGGAGTATTTGAGAGGGCACCTAGAGGTATCTTGTGATCAAGGAGGCAAAAGATATTTTGAAGTTTTGCCATGATTTAAGGCAGACAAAGTCACAATGGTTAGGGAAGGTCTGCCTAGCAAACTCAGTTGAGTCTGCCACCTCACTTCTACAAAGACACAACTGAGGTCCTCAAAATAATTATTCTGGACACACATGTAGAGTAATCACTATTCTGTGTCTGAATAGGCCCCTGAGTTTATGATGTGTGAAATGAGATCTATTTAATTTCTTACTATTTCTTTCTGAATTTGGTTTGCAGAGGATCATAAAAATGAGAAAGAACAAGCTGAACTTGAGCCACTGGCCCTCAGGTAATTCAGAAAATAATCTTATAAAGGCATCTGAACTAGGGCCCAAGGGGTCAAATGTGCTGCAACTTCATAAACTTGGGGGGGGGGGGAAGCTGAATGTAATCAATTAATGTATTCACTGAACATCTTAACATTATTTTTAACCAAATCCTTTCTTCCCTTTTGATATAATTCCATGGACACATTAATTCTCTAAGCTTCGTAACTTAGAATTAGCATGACTTACAAGTGAACTAAATAGGTTTCAGGAGTCTTCTCACCTTTCCCAGGGGCTTTCCCTGCTTTCCCCCCTGTGTATTTAATGACCAGGGTAAGCTTTTTACAAGGTTGGCTTGCCCTAAGTTAGATTGACAGCTTGCTTAATGGCCACCCAATTTTCTTGGAGAAGAAGGAGTCATAATACCGTGTCTAGTGAAAGAGGCCCAGTGAAAGAGGCTGGACGCCCTGGGAAGCCACGATGCCTCAGGAACCATTTTTTAATGTGTCACTTCTTATAATGCTCTATAAGATATGTGCTAAGGGTAAAGTTATGGCCACTAGTTTGAGCTGTCTGTGTTACAACTGTGCCTCAAAATAACTGTGGTGTCAAGGTATTTGGGTTTTTATTTCTAATCTATCACAGACATTTCAATCAACTAGATGATTCTACCTAACGTAGTCTTAGATGTTGGGACAATGTTTTTTCAATGCTTTTAAATGCTCAATTTCAATTTTATACTGGTCTTATTGGAGATAAGAAACAGTCCTTGGGCTGCAGTTGTTCAGAGATCATATCATACCTAGATAACTGTCTCCTCAGGTCCTGAGCATACTATGTGGCCAGTGTGCTGGGTAACTATTATTCACTCTTCATCTGTCTCCTACCTGCCCTGCAGCCCCAATTAGAAATGAGTTATTTCAATTGTGCTATGCAGAATGGTCCCCCTGGCTTATGTGACTTTTTCTCATATGCCTTAGTCAGGACTTGCTGGACTGTGTGAACTTGGTTTCACCTTTGTCTACCTCTCTTCCCACCAGGCTCAGCAGGGAGCTGCAGGAGAAGGAAAAAGTGATTGAAGTCCTGCAGGCCAAGCTGGATGCCCGGTCTCTTTCGCCCCCCAGCAGCCATGCCTTGTCTGACTTCCACCGTTCTCCCAGCAGCACCTCCTTCTTATCTGATGAGCTGGAAGCCTGCTCTGACATGGACATAGCCAGCGAGTATACACACTGTGAAGAGAAGAAAGCTTCACCTGGTCACTCAGGTAGTCTCTACTTTCTGAGAGGTGCCCTTCTATTTAGACTGAGCAGAGACCTAGGAAACCAGGCCTTATGGCTCTGCCTTGGTGTGTATCAGGCTGAACATGGTTCTGGGACCAAGTGCCAAGCACAGGCTCCCATGGGTTAAGGACTTTACTCTGCTCCTGACTCTTCAATTTACTATGTCACCCTATTACCCATCAGCATATATTGCTGTTGGACTCAAGGCAATCTGTAGTGCACAGAATGAGAAGATGGTGGGAAGATTTTTCTTCTTCACTGAATCTGATAGACATCTTTCTTTAAGATTGAACATCTCGTCTCTCTTGTAGTGATCTTGCTGCAGTTCCTGAGCAGTATCTCCTGAGTATCTGTGGGTGTCCACAGTTGCTGCCAGTCTTCCCTGATATTTTTAGAGGTATAGATTTCATCATTTCAGGGCTCTGAGCCCCACTATAACCCCTGAAGTGGATGCCTCACTAAAGGAACTATTTGCAAGCAAGAAAATGAACACTGCAAAAGTGCCTGTGCTTGGAGCTTTTTCTGACAACGAGACCCCAGCCCTGGTACCCCTAGTTAAATATAAGGCCAGGATTCCAGTTCTCTGTAGAACATCATTTTCTTTCATTCATGGGTTTTATAGATTCCATCCATCATTCAAGTCTTTCTGCTGTATTGTCTTCTAAACCAGCAGTAACCAGTGCTTCACAGGGGGTTAAGGCCGAGTCCAGCAGCAACCCCATCAGCTTGCCAACTCCCCTGAATTCCCCCAAGGAGGCCAACCAGGCCCATCCAGGTATGCAGTAGCTTCATCTCCTCTTCCTCAGCTGCCCGTTGGACTTTCCTTCAGGGACAAAGGTGTGAACATAGAAACCATTGTGCATCACATCCTAGACAAAATCAAGACACCACTTTCATGCACTAATTGTGTCTGATTTAAAAAAAAAATTAGAACATAAGTAATCCATGACAAGATTTGATCAGCATACCAATTTTGACCAATAATTAGCTAATAATTTTAAATAAACATTTTTCTTTCTTTCTTTTATTTAGCCTGGGGAACAAAGAGGCAAAATTTTCTTACAGGATTACAATCAAAGAACGGAAAGAAATTCCCATTTACTGATCCTGTATACATGTTACCCATATATTCTTCACAGTGGCCCTGTGTAGTGGGTGGCATGGCTTACTTTGTGACTAAATTCTGTTTATTTTATACTATCATTCCTGGATTTGTGAATGTATTACTAGGCCTTGATTTGTACGTGGGGTATATATCCTGGGGGCAACTAGGTGGGTACATTTCACTTCTATGTCTCAGCATAGTTGCCAGAGGCTACATTGTTCACTCACAGCTCTACAGAAGGGTTGGCACGGAAAGAGCCAGCCTTGTCTTTACCTCCTGCCCCACACACCTGGATGGCTGCCTTCAGTGTAGTCTGACATGGATAGGGATTCTCCCAGGAAGCACAGTGCTTTCTCTGCCACCCTCCTCTCTTCTGAGGAAGAAAGGTGTCCCTAACCTGAGACTGGGCACAAAGTTTCTGAGCCAGAGTATGTACCAGCTAGACCAGGAGATCATGGGGAAAAACTTTTTACCCAGAACTATAGATATCTGCTTAAATGCTCAGTTCACAGAGCAGAAAGCCAGGGGTTTTAAAAATCAGAAGACTTTTTCCATAAGAGGCCTGAGCTGTGCTACTTAGCAGTTTGGGTGTCTTTGCAGTATTGCTCTGTCATGATGTCAGCCTCGTGGGGCAGTGAATGAGTTTTAGAATGTAACCATTGTCTTGTCTTCTACATTAGACATTCTCTACAGGGCAGTCTTAATTTCTGGTCCTTCCATTGGATACCTGCCCTCTACCTATTTTTAGTAAAGAAGAAACAGAGGCAAACATTGGAACTTCCCAGGGTTTACAAAAACCAGGCTATCAGTGGGCAGCATAAAGATCACCTGGAGATTTCTCAAAGTGAAAATTTCCAAACCCTGCTCTCAGAGTTCATGATTCTGTAGCTCTGCATTAAGGACTGAAGAATCTGCATGTATTATGAGTTTGTCCTAAGTAGTTCTAGTGCCCAGACAAGTTTGTAAGCCACTGAATAAAGGCCTCTGTTTTTCCTCTGGTGAAAGAAGATGCTGATTTGGGTTTCTGACATTTGTTTCCATCAAAATCTTGAACTCCATGTACTTGTAATGCAAATTTCCTGACAGCCCTATCAACTCCTGCCTTCCTCAAGATGGACCCTGATGCTTTCGGAAGAGGAAGTGTAGGTGTAGGAAGAATCACTCCCAGAGTCAAGGACTGATACATGCTGGGAATAACACCCAGTGGCCCTTGAGGTCTTTGGGGCACAGCCATTTTGACATGGGTGAGGGTCATTAATGGCCCCTTGCCTTCTGTAGCCAATTGATTTCAAGATGAGCAAAAAACATATATATAAGACAGCCCTGGCAGGGGAGAAGGAGGAGAGGTCAGCTGGGTCAACCTCTCTGGAGCAAAGGTCACTCTTGGCTGGCTCAGCCTGCACCTCATTAAGTGTAAGCCACTCTACCAGTTGGTATCTGGTCAGGGAATTATTTCACCTTCTCAATCTTTTACCCATGCTTTTCTCTCACTTTCTCTCTAATGATATTGTCTCCTTTCTCCCTAACTTTCTGTTTCTAGGCTTTCATTTTAACTCCATACCCAAGCCGGTTAGCCTCCCCCAGGCTCCATTGCCCTCAGCTCCATCCAGTTTCCTGCCCTTCAGCCCCCTTGGTCCTCCCTTCCTTGGCTGCTGTGAGACACCAGTGGTGTCCTTGGCTGAGGCTCAACAGGAGCTGCAGATGCTGCAGAAGCAGTTGGGAGAAAGTGAGCACAACTGCTGCCCTTGTGTGCTTGCGAGTGGCAGTCTCACATTGTGTTGCTCTGCATGGCTTTGGCTTGATAGTGAAGTTGGAAAACAAACAGTGGCACATTCTATAAATGGAAGAGGGAAGGAAGGCTCTGCTTGCTTATTTTGAAATGCATTTGCTTTTGTCTTTCTGGTGTGTGTGTCTCATCAGTTATAGGATATGTTCAGGAAGCTCTAGACCTAGTGCTCACACACTTTTGACAGGTTGGGTACCACCACGTGTGCAGAATCCGGACAGCTGGGAGAAGTATTTACTGGTAGGGAATGGGAGAAAGATTTTGTTTTGTCCTCTTAGGATTAACATGACAATAAAAAAGGTGGCCACATATATGGATGGACTCCTTTGTAGGGCTCTTATATTCTGCTGTGAAATGATTTTAATCAAGTTTAGTTCTTGACATTATGAGCTCAAGGAAAAAGGGTGGTGGTAGAAAGATTCAGAAGCAGAAGTAATAGAGGCCCTTTTTCTGTTCCAGGGCAGCTGGAATCATAAACATAGGACATGATGTCTGATTGTGAATTCTGTCCTCAAGATAGTTCATCTTATATAGTCACATAATTTATAGGCTGTGTACAGTCATCTTTTAGAAAACAGTTTGATATATTTATGGGCTGGATGCCTCATCATAAATTTTATTTTATTTATTTATTTATTTGTGTGTGTGTGTGTGTGTGTGTGTGTTTCCTAAACCCAAATCATACTTTGGGTTTAGGAAAAAAGAGGGGGAAAAAACCCTTCATATAATGAATTTACTCACTAATAGTGCTTTAAAGAACAACTAGAAAAATTGGGGGTAAAACTGGCAAGTGATACAATTATTAACCCCTCTTAGAAGTTTGGATTGATTGAAGGAAATGATGAACTCACTCCTGTTTGTTTAGGGGGAGATGCATGTCTGTTCTGCTGCCCATGTTGATAATCCTTGGAAGAAAACAGTCTTCTGAATTTTCTAAATTATGGCCCTGCCCACGTTTTCTCCCCTCTTTCCCATGTCAAACTTTTTCTTTTATTTCTTTTTTTAAACACAGAAGCAAAGATGAAACTCAAAGGGTCTTACCTTCAGAAGCTCCCTAATTATGGCCAGAAACAGGCGATATAGGCAGAATTTTATAGTTTTTAAAGTCACCCAACTTCTTACCTCTGCTTCAAGGGCTCAAGTGGAAACCCTGTGGTTTCATAGGACATATGGAGAAATCAGTTCATGCAATACAGGGTCAGGCCTCCCTCCTTGGAATGGGTTCAGTGGTCTTTGGGCAGGTATGGTGACACTTTTCAGTTCCTTGAATCATGTTGGAGGGGATCCAAATCACAACTTGCCTTACATAGGGCTTTCTCCAGCTCACAATAGGGTTCATTAGTCTAGAGGAATTGAGTTGCCTTGTCTTGATGGATTTTGTGTCCTCTTTCTCCTCTGAAAACTCCAAAGGAGGAATAGAAAGATTTACTGGTTAGCAGGGACAGCAAATATTCATAGGCAAATATTCCTGTTCTCAGGGATATTCAATCCTACATCCCATCATGCTCTGACCCCTAACTTTGGGAGTAAGTCCTATTTCTGGAACTTCTCAGGAAACTTCCTAGACTCTGTCATGAAGAATTATAGTAGGAGCCAGGAATAGGATCACTGGACTTTTCCTTGTATACAAAGGTGATTCAGGTTACTTTATCCATCCTTTTCTATTGGTGTCTCATGCTAAGAAATACAAAGGGTGCAAGTTATCCCCTCTAGGTCTTTATGCCATTGGTGTCTCACAGAGGATGTGACCTCTGAAGACCCATATGGCCCCTGGTAATCTCCATTCTTAGTAATCACAGAATTCCTTGCTGATCCTTCCCTTCCGACACCCTGTTGGTTTCTCATTCATGTTTCTTTCTGCAGGTGTCAGCAGTGTTCCTCCAGCTTCCACAGCCACGTTGCCAGGCAGCCATTCAGAAACCAGCTCTTCCCACTACCTCAACCCTGCCCAGTCCCACTCTCCAATGAGGGGTGCCATGGAATTGGGCAGAATCCTGGATCCTGGATACCTGGGTAGCAATGGCCAGTGGGATGTCATGAGACCTCAGAAAGGGAGTGTCTCTGGGGACATCTCTTCAGGTTCTTCAGTGTATCAGCTTAACTCCAAACCCACAGGTAAACACAAAGCTGAGAGTCTTGGCCTTTGAAAGGAATAGCATTTGGTTTGCTCCTCTCCTACCTGGGCAGGGCTTCTTCACTCATCCCCAACCCCTGGCTCCCAGAGTAGGAATATGATCGAAGAGCAGTCTCAGTACCACATCCTTTCTAAGTGCACCCTTTCTTTCTCCCTGCAGAGGGTTTTGGTGCACTGCAGGGCTATGGAAAAGTCAGTGACCCATCCCCTGTGCTGTCACACATGTTGTTCTCCTTCATTGAACCTGACCTCTTTGTAGGCCACTCTTTTAGACCCTTCTAGATGGCCAGGCAGATGTTCACAGGGATTTGCTTCTGTCAGTCATGAATTTTATGAAATCCCCACCCACACATATGTATTGTACACAAAAACCAATCACATCAAGTGGAGGGGTATAACTAAGCAGGTGGATACAGGAACACAGCTCAGTTCCAACAGTAAGATGTTATAATTCTCAAAAAAAGATTGAGCCCCAAACAAAATGGTATAGTTGATGTGGTTTATTCTTAGCATCTCTTCCACTTTTCTTTTCTGCATCCTTTTTCTTTCCTTGGGGTTGCTCCTCTCTCCTCTCTAATCCATATTCAGATCCCTCAATCTATGCAGGCTATCCTGCTTTTCCCACCATATTAAAAGCGATTTGAGGGAAGGTTTTAGTTTGGGTCATTAACCACATGGGATAAATTGAAGGTCATGTGCTTTTAATTTAGGCCTTCTCTCTAAGGATTGGAGGACTATGCTAAAAATTGTTCAGTTATAATATCAGTAAGAAGAAAGGCATTAGAAGAAAGTCAGAGTGAGAACTTTTCTATCATCCTCAAAGCCACACCAGGCGGTGGCCAGGCCTTTCCTGATGGTAGGCAAGCTCTAACCAGAGTTGTCAGTTATTTTTCTAAATCATGTGGAACTTTACCAGGCCTCTGTGTGAGAGATAGCCCATGGGGTTTCCTTAGCAAAGGACCATTCTGCGCTTGAAAGCCCATTTACTCTTTATTTAAATAAAGTTACCTGTGTCCCCTCAGTGCCCGTGTGAGAGAAGGAAGTTAGCAGAAGGGGTCATGCTGAGGCTGATCCATCTCCCATTCTTCCTAGTAACCAGGACTCTCATTTCCTTCTCTCCATGTCCTGGTGGTATGATGCAGGGGCTGACCTACTGGAAGAGCATCTTGGTGAAATCCGGAACCTGCGCCAGCGGCTGGAAGAGTCCATCTGCATCAATGACCGCCTGCGGGAGCAGCTGGAACACCGGCTCAGTTCCACTGCCCGTGACAGTGGTAGGGAAGGCCCAGCTCTTCCTGTTTCTGGATGTATTTAGGGAACTTTTGAAGAAAAGGCCCTTTGGCAGAGTTTCAGTTTTCAAACCCTTTGGTATACTTTCCTTCAGTAGCTCCCTACAGACCGTCCAGCAAGGGAGATGGCTAAGTGTTATTATCCTACTTCATGAATGTATCTGAGCTTAGAGAATAACTTTCCTCCAGGCCGAACTAGGTCTAGTACCCAGAGTCTACTTATTTCTCACATCATACTTAATCTCCTTACATGCTGCCTACTGATTCTGTGTGTCCTTGTGATTGGCATATGCTAAAACCTGATCTATAAGGGCCTTCCCCCACTATTTCTTCTCTCTCCCCGTGCTCTTCCTCTGAGCTGCTGGCACTTAGAGTTTTGGGAGCTTTCTGCTGGGTTGGGACAAAAGATCTATGGGAGATACAGAATGCCAAACTTTTGGAAGTATCTGTAACTCAAATGTCTGTTTCCCTGGACAGGATCCACCTCTCACTTCTACAGTCAGAGCCTGGAATCTATGCCTCAGCTCTACAATGAGAACAGAGCCCTCAGGGAAGAAAACCGGAGCCTTCAAGCTCAGCTGAGTCACGTTTCCAGAGGTAGGTGGACAAAAATCACAAACTGGTAACACCCATGTCTCTTTCTTCCCTGGCCACAGCAGTCACCAATTGGAGAAGCAAAGAAAAGAAGGCAGAGATAACAGCTATTAAGCTGTTAATCTACCAATTCAAGATTCTCGTAGCCATTCTCACTCTACAAAGGGCTGCTTCCTAAGAGGTCCCAACCATGGCCCTCCCAAGAAGTCCATCACTTCTGTGAAGTCCACCTACAGAGGTCCAGAGTCATTAACTTTCAAACTGGTTATCAGTTTGAGATTTACTCTACCTCCTCCCATTCACAGCTGGTTTGGACCCTTGAAAGGAAGAAGTGTGTGTGTGTGTGTGTATGTGTGTGTGTATTTCCTGTCACATTTCTCCACACTGAACTGCAGCAGTGTGTCCCTCATCTGTTCTTCTGTCACCTCACCACATCCCCTCACTATACATTTCACGCTGCTCTCTGATAGGTAGTCCTACACTTCTATGTCAGGAGGTACTAGCAAATGTTCTCCATAACTCTCTCAACTGTATTTGATGGGCATCTATGAGTAAGTGTCATTTCTCATGTGACCTGGGAGGCACCTGATTTAGAGTTAATTGACCCAATCAAATCAATGTATAACCATCACAAATTCTTTTTGTTTACAGATATTTATTAAATATCTACAAAAAGGCTAAGAATAGTTTCTGAGAGGAATAAATCCAGAATGAAGGAATGCTTGAGGAAGCCAAAGGCTTCAAGAGATAATTCCTTAATTAGTCACTCTGAAGCATACTTCAGAGGAAAGGTTCCTGTTTGGGGAAGATAACAAAAGTTAATAGTTAAGAGAGAAGGAAGAGTGACTAAACTATCATTGCATATTTGGAAAGAATAGAACAGACCTTACTGGTGAGAAGAGAGTAGAGATTTAAATGAGTACTGTTTGCTAGGCCCAGGCAAGTTCCACTTCAGAGGACTGATTAAACATCCAGCCTTATTCTCAGGGTTCCTATCAATCATATTTGAAAATTTGTGATCAGAGAGAGATGCTGCTAGCCCTGCCAAAAACAAATGTCCCAATTTTCAAAATGATGAAAAAATATATTCTAAAAACCATGGTCAAGAAATCTTGATGTTGATCTTTGGCAAATTTGAGATAGATTGTTGAACAAACAATAAGTGGTAAGCTTTAGATACCAGAATGTCTTCTTTCAGAGTGAGGGAAGCCATACTAAATGAGAGAATCAGGCACTGCAAAAATGGAGGTATACCGGACTTTAGCATGTATGGGTACAGTAAGCCAAACTCTGTCCCTATGCCTTACCTTGGTTTTGATTGGTGCACTTGGGATCATCTCCCTCCTGAGCTTTGACCCCACACCTGTTGTTCTGCCCACCAGGGCACTCACAGGAAACAGAATGCCTGAGGGACGCTCTGTTCTCCTCTCGATCCCGCCTTCAAGAGCTGGAAAAGGAGCTGGAGCAGCAAAAGATGGAGCGGCAGCAGCTTCTAGAAGACCTGCAGGAGAAGCAACAGGAGATCTTGCATTTCAGGGAGGAACGTCTGTCCCTCCAGGAAAATGACTCCAGGTAAGGGGAAGGGGGCCCCATTTTCAGATTTATAAGGTATATTGGCAAGACAGTAGTGTCCTCTTTGGGAAGCCTGGTTTTCCATCTGCTATTCCTGCTTCCTGGGTGAATTTGAGCAGAGGAGGGCCTCTCTAGGGATACCTTTTGCACTCCAAAGTGGAGTTACATAAGACTTGCATGTACCAGAGACTGGAGAAAGACCATTCCCATGCTGTCAATTAGATACAGGACATTACTTTCACCTTTACCTGGAAGCTGCCTCAGCAGCACAAGTTTGAGTGATGTTTATCCAAAGCACAAGCTCCACAACTACCTGTCAGCATGAAGAGCACTGGGGGTCCAGTGAAGACACTATGCTGGTGTGTCTGTCCTGGTCCTAGCTTAGGTAACTAATGCTGCTTCACACCAAGTTACTTTACCTGTCCCAGGCTCTGCTTCTACATCTGTAAAGTAAAGGAGATGGTCTTCCTGATCCCTGAGGGGATGTCTAGAGCTAAAACTCTAGGAAGCAAAGGTTGGCTCATAGTGTATTGCACAAGTATGGCTGAGCAGCCCTGCCAGCTCAGTGGGCCCTTGCTTCTCCCTGGCAGACTGCAACACAAGCTGGCCCTCCTGCAGCAGCAGTGTGAAGAGAAACAGCAGCTCTTCCAGTCCCTGCAGTCAGAGCTACAGATCTATGAGGCACTTTATGGAAATTCTAAAAAAGGACTAAAAGGTATGTTTTCCTTCTCCCTCTCCTCTTAAAGCCCAAGCACGAGACATTAGTGGCATGGGCAAGATTCAGTCTGGGTGCCCTTACAATAGGCCACAAGAATCAAACTTCACCTACTTAGGTAGTTAGAAACAAATTAATCAATGTGAGATTATACCATGTTTTTAATGCAAAGAACTATTCTGGTGCTATCATCATTTGTGAAAGTCTTAAATATTATAAATAATATATAATGACAGCCCATGCAGCCATCCTACTTTACCTTAATCCTGACCCCCCAACTCACTATGGGAAAATTAAGAGATATAAAACAAAAGTTATTGTGTCCATCTGCAACTAAAAAAAATTTTTAAAAGTATACATATATATGTATATAATTGGCTTTTAAAAATACCTTCGAAACCTTAAAATTTCAAGCCTGATTTTAAATATTAGCATTTTTATTGAGGACTTTTGCCACCTGCTGAAATAATAATCTAGTATTTGAGAATTTTGGTATATTTCCCTATTTGTCTTCTTTAGATGAAGAAGGCACATTTGAATTTTCTTAAAACTGGATTTAGTTTCCTAGTTTACTAAAAAGGGAAAATGAACTAGAACTTGAAGCATAGGGGTCTTACCAGGCTGAGAGAATAGCAAATGTACAAAGCCAATGTGAATGTTGGGTCAGAGGAGAGATCAGCCTGTCTATAGCTTGATTGGAGGAGTAAGAAATCAGATTAATGGAATGAGAGACACCAGTGCATAGAAAACCCATAATTCAGCATAGAGGTTTATATACAATGGAAATAACTATGCTTTTTTCTTTTTCAATGAAAGAAAGTATGTAATGAAAACAGAATTTTAAGATGTTAAGTCTGGTGGGACATTTTAGAGACATTAGAATCTAAAAAACCTCTTGGATGGCCAAATAATTTGGGGAGCTTTAAAAAGTGAGAGCTTAATATAAGGTGCTTGGGAAGATAAAGAAGGATACATGAAAAAAAAAAAAACACATGACACATGTTTCATAAAAAAATACCGACAATAAGCAAAACTTAGTGGGAATTTGGATCTAGGGAGAGAAAGGGAGGAGTGTGATAGAAACTTTGGATTAGTTTCTGAAGCCACTTGATCCTAAACCACTTCCCCTTTCATTCCATTCCTCCAGTTCATGGGTCTTTTAGGATTTATTACAAAGCTGTTGCCACTACAACTCCAAAATTCCTTATTTTTAATTCCAAAATCCAATAAGAATTAAAATTGAATTAAAAGCTTTTTCATATACTCTTTAACTGAATGACAAGAGGACATTTATAGTCTTCAAATAATCACTTGATGGGTAAATAGCTGTGGGCCAGATGCAATTTGGTGCAAGTAATTCAAGGCACCCTCTTGCATGGTATATGCACCCTCTTGCCTTGCTAGAAATCAAAACCAATTCAGTCTTTTAAAATATATTTGGCTTTGGGCTTGGGTTGTGGCTTAGTGGTAGAGTGCTTGCCTAGCATGCGTTAAGCACGGGTTTCAATCCCCAGCACCATATAAAAATAAACAAATAAAGTTATTGTGTCCATCTGCAACTAAAAAAATTTTTAAAAAGTATACATATATATGTATATATTTGGCTTTAAGGTAAAATATTTCTGAGATCTTTTCATTATAGCATGTACAAATATGTGTGGTAAGTAGAAATGAAAACCATAGAGAAGCTGAAAAATTCACTTTGTTAGGACCCCTGTCTAAAGTACTTGACTCCCATTTTTACATGTTACCAAAAGTCCTGGTGCATTCCTCCTCTCCCTCTTTGATTTCTGAGGGCAGAGGTGATCAAATCTTCTCCCTCAGCCCCTACCCTTCTCTAGTTGAGTGCTGACCTCCTGCCTTGGAGGATCCTGTTCTCCAGCCTGCAGAACTAAGGTTAATATGGAGGTGAGATAACAGATTTGTTATTGTCTGCCAATCAAATGCCTTTAAGTACATGGGGATAATTTTGAACCTCGGAAAATTCCAAACTGAAAATGTGTCACCTTGGTGTGTCCCAGGGGCTACACAGGAATGATTAACATCTCTACCACAGATTTGCTGCCCAAGTCCGAGACTACAGTAAGGTCCTTGGCAGAAAAGAATGTCACAGAACAGTATTCTCACAAGTGCTTGTAAATACATGGGCCAATGCAACCAAACCCCTCTTCTCTCTTCTTTTAGCTTTTAGCCTGGATGGCTGTCACCAAGTTCCTTTGAACAGTGACTTGAACCACCTGGTGGCAGAGATACGAGCTCTGAGAGGGCAACTAGAACAGAGCATTCAGGTGAACAATTGTCTGCGGCTACAGCTGGAGCAGCAGTTAGATGGTGGTACTGGCAAAGGCAGCCTCAGCCCCTCCACTGTGAGCCAGAACTTCCCAACCAACCCTGACCCTGGAAATAAGCAGTCACTCTTTCAAGGTAGGAAGGACAAAGAATCAAGAAGCCCTTAGCCAATGGGGCGATACCAATATGTGTGCAGTGGAAGGGGTACTCTTGCTTCTCTTAGGTTCCTTAGGGTCAAGTTCTCAAATTGGAGAGGCTTTAATATGGTGTCCTGAGAGCATGGGATTTAGAGTCAGACCTGTCTCCAGATTCTGCGTTTACCATTATAGGTGGTTTGCTTTGGGCAATGTGTTTAAACAATGAAGTGTTGAAGCCTTGGTTTCCTCAACTTGCAGATGGTAATAATATAAAATATATACCATGTATGGTTATTTGGAGCATTGAATTAAATCATTTTCAAGTGTCTGGCACAATAAGAATTGCTCAATAATTATCAGCTATATATGTTAACATCTATTCCTTGTATTTGTGTAGTCCCTTACAATTTACCAAGCATTTTCAAATATTTAATTTCCTCTGAAGTACGTGAGAAAACTGGGCATTGAGATATTAATGGACAAGCTAGGGTTTATAGAACTTAGGGACAAAATCAGGTTAGAACCAGATATTTTGATTCCCAATCTGTATCTTTTTTCACCTTGCCAGACTCTATCTCAGTATCACAGACCTTGCCACACTCTCTAGAGTGGCCCTTTCCTTCATCTGGGGGAACTCAGCATGTGGCAAGATACTCCTATCCCTAAGAAAACCAGGGCTATGGGAAAGTACTGGTGGCAAGCGTGATAATTCCAGGTGACAGACATCCACTTCTGCCCCATCCTCTTGCCTGCATGTAAATACACATGTTCATCAGATCTGTATTACTCTCTTCAATATCTAGTCTCAGTTTTGCTTTCCTCACTTTAATTGAAAGTTAACAGATCTCTCATACCTAAGCTCTTCACACATCATTCAACTTCTACATCTTCTTCTGTTTTTACTTTTGATGTATCATTTAACCCACTTTCTCCACTCACCTGCATGGCCATATCGCCAATTTTATTCTAATCAAGAATCACTGATGCTCAGGTTTCCATAAGGCTGAGCTTTCAAACTCTCCTGTCTGATGTTACTGAGTCAAGTTAATCCTTATTTTTTCCTTTTTTGCTGAATACTCATTTATGAAACTATGACCTCAATTGTCAAATGAAAGGGACAATTACATGGACTTGTTGTGGCCATCAAGTAAGAAATATCTATGGACTGCTAAGTACCATACTCAGTTGGCATCAACTTCTCAGCATTTATTGAATGTCTGTTTCACCCTTATGGGGCTGTCATGATGGACATGGTCTTGAGTCATGGGAAAGTACTGGGTGGCAGGCATGTTCATTCTAGGTGACAGACATCCACTTCTGCCCCATCCTCTTGCCTCTAACCAAGTTTCCCCTCTTAGAGTTTTTCCTTGTACCAGCTGAGATGCAGCCCCATGGTTTAGTCCCTTCTTCCTCCCAGTCCCCAGAGACCTGAGCTGGAAACCTCACTCTGACCCACATTTCCCCTAGCAGTACCTTCCTGTCTTTTTTTTTTTTTTTTTTTTTTTTGATATTTCACGTTTTTTATCAACTTTATTTTTTCTTTTTGCAGTACTAGGGAATCAAACCCAGGGTCTTAGGGCTGGGGATATAGCTCAGTTGGTAGAGTGCTTGCCTTGCATGCACAAGGCCCTGGGGTTGATTCCCAGCACCAAAAAAAGAAAAGAAAAAAAAAAAAAAAAAAACCCAAGGAGGCTGTAGCTGTAGATCAGTGTTAGAGCACTTGCCTCACAAGTGTGAGGCACTGGGTTCAATTCTCAGTACTGCATAAAAATAAACAAATAAAAAATATTTAAAAAAACAACAAACCCAGGGCCTTGTGCATAATATGCAAGCAGTCCATCACTGAGTTGTACCACTACCTTTGATTAACATTTTAACATATGTATGCATACATCTATGCATTATACAAAATAGCACATACAAAATTCTACTCAGGATTGGGTTTATAAAATGATATCTAACAATGGGCTGGGGGTATGGCTCAGTGGCAGAGTGTTTGCCTAGCATGTGTGAGGCACTGGGTTCAATTCTCAGCACCACATATAAATAAGTAAAATAAATATTTTTAAAAAAATTATATCTAACAAGTTTTTAAATGGAAAGTTACACTTTTTTTTCCTGAATAATGGGAACATACCAAGCGAACTGATTGTTGGCTTTTGCTTTTCATTGTGGCATATGGATGCTAATGTTGTGAAAGGGGAGTCCTGTCAACTTAGACTTGGGTGGTAAAGACTAGGCTGTGCATGATTTGGGGTGCAGAATGTTCCAGGGGTTCTGAAAATTTTGATTGTCTTTACTCCCTAGATTCAGTTACTTCCCCTCCAGTTCGTGATGTTGGCATGAATTCTGCTGCTCTGGTCCTTCCCAGCTCTTCTTCCTCTTCTCCTGGCTCAGACACTGCCATTGTCACCAGGAAAAATGGTAAATATGGCAACTAAGTGGCTCAGACACCATGACGGAAAATTATTAATGCAAATAACTGTTAGTTCTCTGTAAGTACAATATCTGAATTTAGAAAATTTTCTCTGCATGCCAGAAAACCTTCAGTCCTATTCATTGAATCTTCTGTGGCTGCCTTTCTTTTCATTCTTCTTCTTCCCACAGTTGTCCTGTTGTTCTGTTTGCATCATTGCCCTGTAATCTCTCCGTTCATATATGTGCTGTGTCCTGCTGATTTACTTGTCTGTGCCTTTTCTATCCATAAATTTTTCATGTTTATAATACTATTTGTCCTGAATAGTCCACTTTCAATAAAGATAAAATCTGTCTTCTAGCAAGTTTATTATGCAATGATGTAAGAAAGATTATAAAAATAAAGAAACCAGAAGGTCTGGACTTGACCCATCCTGCATTTTTGAAGGCTGCCTTTCTTGATCCTTTCACTGTCTCTTTGCATTGGCTGGAACTGAGGATATCATTATGAATAACAACAGATCCTATATTATCGTGGTTTTCTTTTACAGAGCTGGAATCAGATGCTCCTCAAGGAATGAAGAACTCTCCCAAGCTGGAGGGTGATACTACAGATGGCTCCTTCGCCAACAAAAATGGCCGCCATGTCATAGGCCACATCGATGACTATACTGCTCTCAGGGAGCAGATTGAGGAGGGAAAACCGCTGGTGCAAAAGATCCTGTCTCTCCTGAGACCCACATGCAACTTCCTGGGCCTTGAATCTCAGAGCTCAGAGGTAGTCACACCTGCACCTCCTGGGTTCACCCTTTCTTTGTGTCCTTTGTCCTTAGTTCTACTTCCTTCTCCACTATTTATTTTTGTGGCCTGCATCTCCCAATGACAGAGAAATCATCTTCCAGTTATTCTAGCCAAGCCCTTGCTTCCCTTTCTCTTGATTCATTCTAAGTTCTACTCTGTTGTAGAGAAGGCCAACTAGATAATCTTCCTTAGAGCCCCAGAGAAGTCTGTGCAACATTGTCACCATCCTCAGTAGTGCATTTGTTAAGTATTGACATTCATGTGATGTTGTGTTGAACTCAGCACCCTCTGCTAGTTATTACCTGTTACACTCATGGTGGCCCATGCTGGCCCACTTAAAATCAATCAGATGGACAGATGCTGAGGGATTTGCGTCCATAAGGACCTTGTGTGTGGAAAGGGTAAGAAGTGGGACACTATGGTATTTGTTGAGACAGAGCAAAGGCTGGGAAGCAGTGCTTCTCAGAGTACTTTACTGTTGAGAGAGACCAAGGATCAGTGACTATGCCGAGCCACCAGAGACCCATGGATGAATAGACACAGCCCTGCCTCCAGAGAGCCTGGACTCAAGGGCAAGACACAGACCTCTGTTGATAAGCAAACTAAGGTGCCAAGAGCACGATGTGAGAAGCCACCTCTTGTGCCTTGAATGGACCAATGCAGAAGAAGGGTCTTTTGTTGCAGGAAAGGAAGGTAACAGGTCTATAGAGGACATGACATGGGAATGTGCTTTGACAGACTTATAGGGTGTCCAGGTGGGAGGAGGCATTCCAGGTAAAGGGAGCAGCACTTCAGTCCTGGGACCTCACAGGGATGAACCAGGATTTTATAGGTTCAAGCATCCCATGTTTTGTGCCTCACTTAAAAGGAAGCAAGCTTAAGACCTGTACAGGCCTGCGATATCTTGAGCCCTGAGATATCTCAGCTTGAATGTTTTCCATGGTTCCCTTCCCCCTTTCCACAGGCACCAGGCAACAAAGGAGTCCGTGAGCTACGCAGTAGTATCAGTGCCCTACAACACACCCTAGAAGAGTCAGCCTCCCTCCTGACCATGTTCTGGCGAGCGGCCCTGCCAAGTTCCCAAGGCCCTGCACTGCCTGGCAAAGCAGTAAGAGACTAATGTCTTCTTCCATTTCAAATACTGCTCTTCTGTTTCTGGTATGGTTCTGTCTCCTTAGTCCCACAGCTTTCCGAGGGTCAGGAACCACATGGGAAATTAGTATGGACACCACCTTAGGGGAGCATCCTGGAGGGAAACCCCTGATCCATGGCAGCTGCTTTCATGGCAGCTCTGATTACCTTACCTCCTCCTTATACTCCAGCCTCCAAGATCAGAAATCAAAGAGGAGAAAGAAAAAAAAATGGAGGAACTATAACTGAAGTTTGAGTGGACTGAAATTCAGGGGCCTTTTGAAGTTTCTCTCCCCCTCAGGTCTCCTTGGTCAAAAGATCAGAGGATATCACCATGAGCCTGAAGCTTCTTATGGTCATGCTCCTAGAATCCCAAAATATCTTTTTAAATTATCATCTCTGTGCCAAGGTCCCCCCCAGCCCCCAGCCCCCAACCCCAGGATCTGCTGTGATCTCAGGCTGGCTCTTATTGCTAAGCCTGGAGTGGTCCCGCATCTGGATCCCTTCCCAGATATTCGAGTTCCAGACAAATATTGCTGTTATCTTTTGGGAGCTAACTGCTAATTCCAGGGAAGGTGCTTTACCATCTTCACATTTATACAGATATTTAGAGACTTACACACTGTCTTCAGGGCAGCCCTGTGTCCCATACATCATATCTCTGAAATTCCAAATCTTGTATGGATGGGGGAAGGATGAGATAGAACTTTTACAAGGACTGAATTGGAGGTCTTATTCACAACTGGGAGTTTTCTGCTAGCCTGGGGTCAGGGTCTCCTTGGCCACAGGACAGTAGACCTGTGCTAGTCTGGGGGCTTTCATGTTTTCAACATTCTTACCTGTGGCCTCTTCCTCAACTGTCCTGAACTGGAGGATCAAGAGGCTGTAATGGAGAGAACATACTCCAGAGAGTGTTGAGAAGATTATAGAGTTCTGCTTCCAATTGGTAGGAACCACAAAGCACTGGATGCTTTTGGTCTCCATACTGTTGTCTGAGAGCCTATCCTTCTTCCCCAGGATGAATCAATGGAAAGGGAGCTACTGGATCTGCGAGCCCAAGTATCCAAACAGGAGAAGCTCCTTCAGAGCACAGCTGAGCGTCTGAAGACTGCCAACCAGCAGAAGGAGAACATGGAGCAGTTCATCGTCAACCAGTGTAGGTGCCCCTGAGCTGTGGAGCAGCAGAGGAAAGGGGTGATCTTACAGATGCCCCACTGTGCTGCAGATGAACAGTGTCCACAGAGGCACTGGAATGTTGGGAGAGGAGAGTCTGATGCACTGGGCCCAAACTTCCTGTGCCATGAGTAACTGTGGGTGCAGAGGGAGGGAAGGAAGGAGTCAGCAAGAGGCCATGATTGAGGGGTCAGAAGAAAATGCTTTAGAACACACATGCCCAACAAGTAGGGCCCAGCTGGTAATTCCTGCTTTGTGGGGCTGTTTTGTTGTTTCAGTGACCAGGACACATGATGTTTTGAAGAAGGCAAGGACTAATTTGGAGGTAAGGAAACGATTACACCTGTCAGAGCCAAAGAACCTGCCTCTAACACACCACTGTCTATCATCAGGTCTGTAGGTAACCCTGACCTTCTTTCTTCTTCCAGAGGAAAGATATCTGATCCACTTGACTGGTCCTAGTTCCTAGTTAGCCTCCTGTTAGAATTCCATCCTATCACTTCTCCCACTCAGTTCCCTTCCCTGCCCTTGTTTTTCTCTTGTCATCATCTCTCTTTTTTCACTTCAATTTTTCCTCCTTGATGTCAGTTAAACAAGGAGCCAGGAGAAATGTAGTTCAGTTGGTTCTTGAGGACAGAGATATTTGCAGGTTTTCTGAGAATTAGTTATCTGTACAGGGGTCTTTAGGCCATTTGGGCATTCTGGACTTTCCTAAACTACTTTATGATAAAGTAGAGTAAGGCACAACCTTATAAATTGACTTTAGTGCAAAATATTATGTTAAGAACAGCAATTTGATTTTGACACATTTTTTCTTTAAAAAACATGATAAAAAATCCACTTGGTCTCATTGATCTAAAATAAAATAAAATTTGATAATAAATAAACACTGAA